CCCAGGCTGGGCTGTAGTGGTGCGATCTTGGCTCACTGCAACCTCCGGCTCCTGGGTTCAAGCAATTCTCATGCCTCAGCCTGCCGAGCAGCTGGGATTACAGGAACATGCCACCATGCCCAGGTAATTTTTGTATTTTTAGTAGAGATGGAGTTTTACTATGTTGGCCAGGCTTGTCTTGAACTTGTGACCTCAAGGGATCTACCCGCCTTGGCCTTGGCCTCCGAAAGTACTGAGATTACAGGAATGAGCCACTGTGCCCGGCCCATTCTTAAGTTTTTTAAATTATTTTAAAACAGAGATGTAGTCTCACTATGTTGTCCAAGCTGGTTTCAAGCTCCTGAGCTTAAGCAATCCGCCTGCTTCAGCCTCAAAAAGTGCTAGGATCATAGGCATGAGCCCTGGCACCCAGCCTCATTTCTTCTTTTCTTAGCCCTTGTCATGTGCTAGCACATAGTACTCTTCCAGCACTAGGAATACAATTCACAAAGCAGCCATGGCTTCTGCCTTCTAGGAGATTAAGATTAGTTACTTTATTATTATAATTCCTGGAATCTAGACCCTAGTAGAAACAGATACAGGCACAATTAATTCTGATTGAGGCTGGTGGGAGAAAGGGGTAAGAAATCAGGGTTTTGAAGGATGAATAGGAGTTCAGCAGGTATCAAAATGGAGAAGCCCTTTACATACCCACTGCTTTTCTTTAATCCTTCCAACCACTCTGAAATTTTACATTCTTTTTCCTAAATGAAAACACAGAAATTCTAGTGATAAAATTACGTGCCCAAAGTCCTATAGTTGTGGACTGATGGAGCTAGAATTTCAACTTGAATCTCACTCTCCCACATGCCATAACTTTTTCTATTTTGCACAGCAGCATTTTTTAAAAGTAAGCACAGAGCAACAAAGCTGACCTTCCAGTTTAAAGTTGCCACCATCAAGAAAGACTGGGAATCAGGAAATTTAAAAACTAATTGCACGTGCAACACAAGTCTGCAAAATGAGCGTGCAGCCTGCTTCCAGCTCTGAGCCCTCTCCCTGGTGCCAGGGGACTGGGAAATGTGCAGGGTGGTGAAGTGGCCGAGTCGGGGCTCTGAGCCCACAGCTTGGATTCCAGGCATAGCTCTGCCACGTCCGGGCACCCGGACCTTTAGCAAGTTACTCAGCTTTCTCAGATCCCAACCTCCTCATCTACAAAACAGGGCAAGTAGCAGACCTGGCCTCGTGAAGGAGAAATGATTTAATACACAGAGAGTCCTTCAGACAGTGTCAGGCACACAGTAGACACACAGTAAAGCTATTGTTATTCATATTATTGCCACATTGGTACCCAAAAGAGGCCCTCAGAGGGGAGGGGTGGGTACCTCTGGTCCCAGAAATTCAGCCAGTCCTGCCCCTGGGGTTTATTTTTATTTATTTATTTACTTATGTTTGAGACAGGGTTTCCCTCTGTCATCCAGGCTGGAGTGCAATGGCACAAGCACGGCTCACCGCAGCCTCCAATTCCCAGGCTCTCGCGATCCTCCCAGCTCAGACTCCTGAGTAGCTGGGACTACAGGCATGCGACACCACGCTCTGGCTAACTTTTTTTATTTTTAGTAGAGATGAGGTCCCACTATGTTGACCAGGCTGGTCTCCAACTCCTGAGCTCAAGCGATCCTTCTGCCTTGGCCTCCCAAAGTGCTGTGATTACAGGTGTGAGCCACTGAGCCTGGTTGCTTCCGGGGCTTAGAAGCCATCGGAATAGACTCTGACTGGCTAGTTCACACCATCCCTGGCACGTCCGTCCTTCCCACCTCCACTTCTCCTTGGACGCAGCACCCTCTGTTGTCCTCCGTTCCTGACCCTGAAAGCTGAGCTGCACGCCCTCTGGATTCCTGGCTCCGTGAATGTTTGTATTATGCTAAAGAATGAATAAAAGGATCAAGTGAATGAACCCATTCTGCAAGACAAGCATGTCGCAGCAATGACCAAGCATGGCTCTCAACCGAGAGAGCCTGGCCCTAGCACATCGCAGGCCGCTACCAGAGGTCACGGCATTGTCCCCACAATCCCGCAGAGACAGGAGAACAATGGGACAGAGGCTCTGTCCTGGGCACCAGCCGGGTACTTCGGTGTGGCAGACAACAGCTGTGGCCAGGCAGCCGTGCGTGCTGAACGTTCAGCGCATTCCCCAGACTCGAGTCTGGGCGTCGCAGTCGCCAGCCCAGCCTGCCTGGCAGCCCCTGCTGCCCCGTGGCCTTGCTGGCATTTGTCCTGTTTTCCCAGCCACTGCCGCCTCTCACTTTCTTGGCTCTGAATAAACTAAGGAGACTTAGAGTCGAACCTGACTCTTAGTTCTAGCCCCAGCTCTGTTATTCATTAGCGGTGAGTTTAGGGCAGGTCCTATCACTGCTGTGGGCCTCAGTTTCCCCGTATGCTGACGCACCTGTGTGGCAGGCCACAGGTGAAGTATGAACTGTTGGAGGTCAGTGCTGGCAAGTGCGGGTAAGGCCAGGCCCTTCCTGTGCTGCTGATGGCTGTGACTTTGGCCCAAGCCATTTACAACACAACTGGCAACATTGGTAAACAACAAGAGTGATGCTCTGTGCCCTGTAGCTCAGCATCTGTATCGAGCATCTCCTAAGAAAATAATCTACAGGGTAGAAATGTTTCCTGCCAGAACTGTGTGTCATGGTGTTGTCTAAAAGGAAAGCTGGAAAAACAGCTACTACTTCCGGGTCCCAGAAATTAAGACATTGGTCTAAGCACTTTCCCTATATTTGCTCATTTAATCCCCACCACAATCCTACAAGACACACATTATATTACTCTTATTTTACACATCAGGTGACTGAGCCCAGAGCGTGTTAGCCATGTGCCCAAGCCACACAGTAAGTGACGGAGCTGAAATTTAAACCCATGCCATCTGGCTCCAAAGTCCACTGTACTACACTTTCCTCCTTGACAAAGTAACATAAGGTTCATTTAAAGGCAAAATGCCTTCGTAAACAAATTACTCCATTAATATAAAAGAAGAATTTTCAGAATACGCCAAACTAGAATATGACACAGCAAGTCAACTTATCCGATTCTTCATTTTACAAATGAGGACACTGAGACCCAGGGAGGGAGAGATTTGTCCATGGCCAGGCGGGTGGTTAGTAGCATAAAGATCCCTCCTCTAAATTTGCTGGGCGTGGTAGCGCACGCCTTTAATCTCCAGCTACTCAAGAGGCTGAGGCATGAGAATTGCTTAAGCCTGGGAGACAGGCTGCAGTGAGCTGAGACTGCGCCACTGCACTCCAGACTGGGTGACACAGTGAGATTCTGTCTCAAAAAGAAAAAAAAAAATTGCCCCCGCTGGATTCCAGTTCCTCCACATCAATGACCATGCAATGAATTTACACCCTCCATGTTACACACAAAGCACGAGAACGCACGTGCATGACTTTTATTACAACCAAAGTCAAGGGTTTATGAATACAATAATCTTAAACCAAAGGCCAATCCACTTCTTCTTCACATGGAAATGATGGCAAAAAAGCAATCGGGTAAGTGACCCGGTCCCCAAGACATGGCACCCAGAACGGGCCCATCTGGAAGGTCCTCAGAGAACATCTGCTCCGAGTCTCCATGAGGCAGAGGGGAAGCTAGCTGATGGGCAGGCCAGTCTCAGAGGGGTTTTAGTGCCTGTGGAAAGATAGCGTCATGCCAGCAGAATGGACCCTTTGTAACCTAGATGGCTGTATTTGCAAACGCAGCATGAATGTAAAGTCTTGTAGTAGTTTCAGATAATTGGGATTTTTAAATGCAGAGGTGGAAAATGCAAATGGTAATGGTCAAAATATGACCCTGCACCTGTCGTTCCAGACAGCATTCCAGCCGCCCCCCCCCCCCCCCCCCCAACCCCCGCACCGCAGTGCACATCTGTGCTTCATTCACCATGAGATCCCTTTCTTTAACAACTGCGATCACACTGGAGCTTCCAATCATGAAACCCCTCTTCCCCGCCCGGGTTGTGCATGTGACCCAGGCTGGGCCAATCAGGGTCTTCTTAAGAGACTGACTGACACTGAGGAAAGAGACCTCTCTTCTGGGATCCTGACCCAGAAGGATCACCACAGCATGGACCATTTCTTCGGCTGTGCCAAGGCTACCTGACTCTAAACCCAGAGAAAAACAGAACTGAGAGATGAGATGAAAATACTGCATGAGCCCTCAATCCAGCCACACCGAAAGCAGAAAAGCCCTGCACTTCCCACCTCCAAGAGCCAAGCCATTCTTCCTTGTGCTTCAACTTACTGGAGCTTGCAAATATGAACTATCACCACTCCTCCCACCTAAAGGTTCCCACCAGGGAATCAATTTCCTCCAACCCTCCCCGGCCACCGGCCCAACCAACCAAACTGAAAAGAGTTCTAGATAGGAAAGAACCTGCAGACTGCCTTAGTGGGTATAAGGTTTCCTTTGGGGTTGATGAGAAAGTTCTGGAACTAGATAGCGGTGATGAGTATACACCATTGTGACTCTGTTTAATGATGCTGAATTGTACTTTAAAATGGCTAAAATTTATGTTATTGTATTTTACATTTATTTATTTGACAGAATCTTGCTCTGTTGCCCAGAAGGCGTGGTGCGATCTCAGCTCACTACTGCAACCTCCGCCTCCCAGGTTCAAGCGATTCTCCTGTCTCAGCCTCCCAAGTAGATGGTACTACAGGCGTGCGCCATCACGCCTGGCTAATTTTTTGGTATTTTTAGTACAGACAGGGTTTCATCGTTTTGGTTGGCCAGGCTGGTCTCAAACTTCTGACCTCAGCTGATGTGCCCGCCTTGGTCTCCCCAAATGATGGGATTACAGGTGTAAGCCACCACACCTAGCCAGTATTTTACCACAACTTTTTACATGGGAAGAAAAAAGGAATCACAAAATCTGCGATGTGGTGCCCCATGCCCACATCCTGGCGAGCGCCCCCTCCCTCTGCTCTCTTTCCTCCGGGCCACGTCCAAGAGCGGGCCAAGCATGGCAGCCGGAATTCAGCAGGAGACCTTTGGCCACGAACAGGACTTCTTTTTCATTTTCCATCCTGCTGCCACTCGGAAGACCCCTGAAAGCTGGTTAACCATTAAAACCCAACTGGCCTGGAGAAAAACAGCCTGTGGGGTTGAATAAGTGCTTTTCCAAAACAGGGGCTCCACGGCCAGACGGGGCGCAGACAGCAGTGTCAACCAGGAACGCTGACCAGCGTGTGAAACAAATGGCCTTTGTCAGCATTTCCTCGGTCCAGGCACGGCGCTAACGCTGCTCAAAGCCAATCTCATGCCCATACCTTTGAAAAATGATTATCTTGCCTCTTAACTCCGGAACCCACCTCCTGAGACTGTATTCTCAAGGAATAATTCAACAGAAGAGAGAAGGGAGATGCATGTATTAAAATGTTGGTTGGAACATTATTTATAAAAATAAAAATTGGAAGCAACTTAAGAGGCCAGGAACAGGGGAACGCTTAGTACATTACAGTACATTTGTGAAGGACACTCTGCTACCAGAAAACCCTGAATTACAAAGGCGGTGCAGCTTATCATTTACGAAATTACGTTAACCTTAAAAAAAGGTAGCTGGAGACGAGAGTGTGACCTGCAGGCTAGGACACAGCAAAGCCGAAAAGAAACCCTGGGTCTCTTAGCTTTCAGCACCTTCTCTCATTAGACTGTTGTTTTTATTTTTATTTATTTATTTAGAGACAGGATAAGAGAGAGGTCTCTCCCTCACCTACCCTTCCCCAGGTCTCCCTTTTTGGAGTTCAGATTTTCTTTTCTCAACACAATCCCATTACCTGTACCCCAAGAGAACAACCTTGGAAGTTTCTGGAATTGAAAATCTCCATTTTCTTTAATGGCCAGAATGGAAAAGACCTAAAGTAAGCACTGTTCAGAGAGGGTACACATTAATTCTCCCACGGCATCCTGGAGACCACCACTGAAAGTCAGCCAGGACGCCACAAGGTAGTGGCCGCTATTCTGGTGCCCCCACCAGTCCCCTTCTCTAGAAGCAAGCCACCTGCCCCACCCACGGAGGTAGGTGCCCAGCTGCCACGCTTCTGTTACAGGATAGGTGGGATCGCAAACACAGCGACCTCCTCCTAGCCTGCATACTGAAACAATTTTGGTGACATTTCACCAGTGGCTCTACTGGTGCAGAGACTCGGCATGGCTTATCCCAAGTCACAGCTAAGCTACAGACCCAGGAGTCCAACCCAGCCCTCTCCGTCCTTGCAGGATGGTGACCCTGGGTGAGCTATGACCTCCAGACAATGGAGGAACTCAGAGAATTACCTGTACGACCTCCTTGACCAGGGTCTTGTCCGTCCCGGTTTTGGCGCGCTGCAGCCCGCTGACGTCCTCACCGATCCACGTGATGAGGGCGAACTTGGACCTCTTGCTCATGGCATCCCCGGTGGTGAAGCGCACGAAGGCAAACAACCGGACGTCATCTGTGGCCAACAGCAAAGAGAGAGCACAGTGCTCCGTTAAAACACCCCAACATGTTTAAAGGATTGCTTTAGCCCAAGAGTTTGAGACCAGCCTGGGCAACATGGCAAAACTGCCTTTCTAAAAAAAAGAATACCAAAAAATTATCTGGGTAAGGTGGCATGCACCTGTAGTCCCAGCTACCAGGGAGGCTGAGGAGGGAGGATCACTTGAGCCCATGAGATTGAGGCTGCAGTGAGCAGAGATCACGCCACTGTACTCCAGCCTGGGTGGCCAAGTGACACCCTGTCTCACGTAAAACAAAATAAAGTTGTGTGTGTGTGCATTGCATGTGTGTGTGTATGGCATGTAGGGCCACATGTACCCCGCTAGGATAAAACAATATTACTCAACATCAGCTCAACTGGCATCTGAGGCCAGATCATTCTCTCTGGTAGGGAACTTTCTGTAGCTTGCAGGGTGTTGAGTGGCACCCCTCACCTGGCCACACCAGTTATGACAAACAAAAATGCCTCCCTGCATTGCAGATGTCCCCTAAGGGGGGCGGAACACCCCTGGGTGAGAACTACTGCTCTCAACAGTTGGTGTCCCCATTGAATCAGGCCGCCTTTTGTGTTTTCCACCAGAGTTCTGTGCCTCTCGAGGAGATCACATATCCTTATTCCGCCTACTTCACAAATAGTTCATATTTTAATTGCCGTTATCACCAACATCTCATTACAATTCCTAACTGGTGGTTGCCATAGGGACGCCAGTGGTTTGGAACCATTCACCTTGTGTTAGCCACCTGTATCAACGCCGATACTCTCTCAGGGCTCTTAGTTGCTGGCGTGAGGATTTCTCAGGCACCCAGTGATATTGTAGAGCAGTATATGCTTGCTTCTCAAAACTCGTGTGGATTTAAATCACTGGGGTAATCTTCCTAAAATGCAGATTCTGATTCAACAGGTTTTGGGTCTATGCTTCTAAGAAGCTCCCCAGGGATGCTGATGCTGATGGTCAAAGGACCACACTTTGAGTTAAAAATAAATAAATAAATAAATCTGCATTTCTTCCTAGAATCTAAGTACCTCCCTGCAGGGTCCCACACAAAGCATGTAAGTTAGCGCCAAGACTCAAGGCCACAAACCACCTGTCTAAAGGAGACCAGTGCAGGGAGTTGAGAAGTTCACTTCCTGGTGATTATCTCAAAGCCTGAGGGGTTACCAGCTGTACGCCTTCAACAAGAAGCCATGCGGTCTAATGGCTCATCCGTCTGTCCCCGGGAGCTAAGGAACACACAGCTCTCAGCAGACCATGAACCTGTGATCCTAACTCCCGTCCAGGGTCAGGGACTCCACAACACTTACTTCTTAAAGGAAAGCAGTCATCATCACCACTCACAGCGGCACAGCACTTTTCAGTTTACAAAACATGCTTCTATTTTATCTCATGTGGTCTTTATAACAATGCTGGGAGGTAGATGAGGTACAGACTTTCATTTTTCATCATCAACATCCAAATTACCTTCATAGATAAGGGCTGGAGGCTCAGGGGCCACGTGATGTGGCCAGAGTCAGAACACGGCGAGGCCAGAGCCGAGGGCCTGACAGCTTAGGTGCACGTGCTCAGCCCCCTTTCCCCAGGGAAGTGCCCCACCAGGCCATGGCCATCGGGGGGTCAGCAGGTGACCAGGCAACAGGAACAGAAGGAAGGATGGTCTCAGGGATGCTGCGCAGGTAAATCCACAGAGCCTGGTTGGACATGAGAAGTGAGGGCAGAGGAGTGCAGAGCTCAGGAGACCTTGAGGGGCGAGAGCCCCGCCTCCCAGCACCCGGGGACCGTGCCTGAATCCCCAACACCAGCCTGGCTGCCTCACCTGTAAAGCACTTTCTTTTCTTTACTGAGATAAAAGTCACATAACATAAAATTCACCATGTTAACACTTTAAAGTACACAGTTCAGTGGCTTTAAGGACACTCTCAATGCTGTGCAAACATCACAACTATCTAATGTCATCACTCTCCACCCCACTCCCCCGGGCCCTGGCACCTGCTCCTCTACTTTCTGTCTCTATGGACTGGCCCGTGCTGGACGTGGCAATGGACTCATATGCTATGTGGCCTCTGACGTCTGGCTTCTTTCACTCAGAGTCACATCTCCAGGTCCGTCCCTGCGGCCGTGGGGGTCAGCATTCCATTCCCTTTCGTGGCTGACGGGCCTTTCACTGTGTGGAGAGACCACATTTTGCTTATCGGTCCATCAGGTGATAGACAAGTGGGTTCCTTCCAAAATGGGGTGATTTCACACCTCCCTTATCAGCTGACCCTGGAGACTAAATGTGAGAGCTACAAAACCCACCTGGCCCCTCAGGGTAGAACCTTCACTCAAAAGCTCCTGACACAGGGCGGGGCTGCCAGGTGGCCACCGCCCACAGGAAACCAGGCTGGTGCAGGTGAGGGCGGTTCCTCACATCTAAGGTGCAAAGGGCGAGGCCACGAGGCCACGGCCGGCTGGTGCAGACTGGAGTGTGCGGAGCAGCCCTTTAGCTCAAGAGCGTTTCTCAGCAGTCCCCGTGGTGTTTGGGAAGCCAGGCCTCTGTTCTGAGTAGTGTCGCCAGAACATCAACACCAAAGTGCTTAATGAAATGGCAGCCTTGACCCGAGGGGGGGGGGGGCTGCACATCCGCCTCCAAATGCCTTTCACAAGCAAAAGAACACTGCGAATCTGTTTCCATGGTAACCACTCTCGAGTTCCCATTTCCACAGTGATCAGCCAGGACTTGTATCCAAACTGCCCATCCTTGGCCCAAGCCTCCACGGGGGAAAGTTACCAGCCCTGCTTTGGGCCAACGCAGTTTTCGGGGACCCCGACCATCTGTTCAGTGCAGTGCCAAGCCTTCGGGCTGAGCCAGCTCTCCCAGGCTCTCTCTCTTCTCCATGTCACCCCCTACCACTCCCACGGCTCTGACCAGCTCCTCTGTGCAGCACCACGGCTTTGCCAAGGTCTTCCTTCCCTGCTGGCTGCCAAGTACCTCCACACTGCCCTCTGAGCCCACCCCTCCCCCTTTCAGACCTCCCAGGTCTATTTGAGCAACATCCTTTCCCCCTTTAGTGTCACATATTTCTGTTAAAGAACCACAAGCAGCCAGGTGCAGTGGCTCACGCCTGTAATCTCCACACTTTGGGAGGCCGAGGTGGGCACATCACCTGCAGTCAGCAGTTCGAGACCAGCCTGACCAACATGGAGAAACCCCGTCTCTACTAAAAATACAAAAATTAGCTGGGCATGGTGGTGCATGCCTGTAATCAGAGCTAGTCAGGAGGCTGAGGCAGGGGAATCGTTTGAACCCGGGAGGTGCAGAGGTTGCAGTGAGCTGAGATTGCGCCACTGCACTCCAACCTGGGCAACAAGGGTGAAACTCCGTCTCAAAAAAAAAAACTACAAGCACTGTCCCTGGGTCCCAAGTACCAGCACAGGGCCCGGCACAAGATAGATGTACAATAAGTAAGTCACACCCCCCAATCCCAAGGCCACCGGGAACCTTCCAGAACCACAGCCTGATGTCATCTGAATGACCGTGGGGGGAGCGGGGTGACAAGGGACACAGTTTGCTAGGTTACTGCTGGTTGCTTATCTGACAATGCTGGTCAATAAGATCGCTGACAGGCCTGTTTTGAAAATCTGAGAGTCACGTTGTGCTTACAAATGTTTGCTGCTGGAGATCTGGCACGAAAGTGACAGGTCAGCTGAGCCTCAGATGGAAAACCTGTTGGTCTGTGCACCGTTTCTGCAGCTGCCCGGCAGACTGGAGGCCTCTCCCTGACCCCGCTCACCCTGAAGGTGGTTCTCAGCCCCTTTTGACCTCACAAGGGGCAGTGCTGGGGAAAACACTAGTTCTTCATCCCTGGTTCAGCTACTTTCCCTCTGCTGAGCAAACCAGGTCCACAAACCCGAGGGGCACTCACAGCCCCACATCAGCAGTGAGAAGCGCCAGGCTGCCTCGTCTACCTCGAGCTAGTGTCACTCTTGTTCACAGGAAAACGGCATATCTACTGAAGGGCATGGAGAAATGCCAGCATGTATATGTTACTGTGATATGTGTATATTTGTGTATGTGTGTATATATGCATGTGTATAGGTGTGTTTGTATATGTGTGTATATACATATGTTTGTGTGTACAGATATATATGTGTGTACATATTCATGCATTTGTGTGTGTGCATGTGTGTTGTGTATGTGTGTGTTTGTGTGTGTGTGTGTGCATTAAGATGGCAAAACGGCTTAGAAGAAGGTTGGTACCTGGGCTTCCCATCACCCCCACTGTACCACTTGGTCTCCGACAGGGTCAATGGTCCATCTCTTCAGACTGAGGTTGAGAGTCCAGGTCTAGTCAGAGAAGAGAGGGAGACTGCGCAGCCCGGGTGGGGGACGGGGGACCCAGGACTTCACCCATCACAGGCACCAGGAGACAGAAGCCATGAGCTCCTTCTGCTGGTGGCCTCAGCACAGTGGAGCAGTCTACACCCTCAACCTTCTCTGCAACGTCCAGGGTGCAAGTTCAAATTCCAGAATCCTTTAGAAACGGACCCCCACATGTACCAGCCTCGTGACCTGGACCGCAGTCCTGAATGGCTCTAAGGCTCAGTTTCCTCATCCACAAAACGGGTCAAATACTTACCTCATGAAGTGGTGGGGAGAATTACATGAAAAAGAAATGAGATCTGAAGGACTTGGCTGATAGGACTCTTTGCTGTTTTTTGACCCCCAACATCTCTCCAGTGAAACTGCCCTCGGGCTCACAGGGACCTCCTCATTGCCAAGCGAACACCATCTTCTCCACGCCCACTAGTGGCGTTTCATACCATTGTCAATTCTGCCCTCCATGAACTTCTCCCTTCCCATGGCACCCAGGACACGGTGTCATCTTGGTTCTCAGAGCGCTGATGCCACCTTCTACTTTCTTCCTGGCTCTTCTACCCGCTGTCTCCAAGTGGGCACTCCCCAAGGTTTTCCACCTCA